AACTTGCACAATTGGTGGCTGACTAAATACTTTTTTTCCCCACTGTATATACACACATATATACATACACATATATATACCTATACATACATACATACATACAACACACCTGACTCTTTTACCTTCAACTTTCTATAGAAAGTGTTCCGACTCTTACAACCTTAACATTTCTCAGATTGAGCAAATGTGGATTAGGACATATTCATTTCAATGGAAACTACAACCACTAAAAAGGTTACCGTCTATTTAGATCCTGGATGTTAATGACGAGATATTTGAAACAAAGGAAAAACACAAAATTTAGGTTTAATAGGGAATAAATGCCACAATACATGATTTAAGGAGAACATTGAATGTAAACAATAAACCAGTACCTCTTTATTAAGGCCAACAGAATATTCTCAAGGGACAGTTTTTCCATATTACTTCACAACCTCCTCTGCATACTTTTGGACTTTTTTGTTCCGTCATTTAGAGAGAAAATGTTAACACAAAGTGATGCTCCTTTCTCATGTTTAAGGATTTGTTTGTTTTGCTGGATAAAACACCGCCACACAAAAAAAGATTTCTTCACACACAGTCTTTAAGGGCAAAAAGTCAATTTTAATAAAAATGACCATATAACATTTATTAAAATCTAATAAAATTACAATTTTTTTTTTTATCTACTTCATTTGGGGCCCGTGTTGTGGGGTGCCAGGTCCCAGTGTTGAAAATAAATACATCTCATTGTTGTAGACTGAAACTGCACACGTCCTATTAACTTCCTTCCTTATTGTCGTATTTCCTTTCTCTTTAGCGTTCACTCACAGTGAAGCAGATATAAACGGGGACACACACACATTCAACAGCAGAAAAAACATGATCTGAAGCCACAGGAGGGTTAAAATAAGTCTACAAAGAGTTTGTGTGCGTGTTGTTCACCGATATCATTTTCAGCCCTACACATTAAAAAAAATGAATGTCTAGATATGCATGTGTGCGTTTGTATTTTTAAAAAAGCAGAGTCTTTAACCAGCTAGTTGATGTCTCGGCTGACGTGCACCATGCAAGCCATTATGGTAAAAGGAAAAAGTGTGTAAAGGTTTTCTCATGTAGTGTATCAGTTGCTCTTCAGTAAAAAGTGACAAAATAAAAATGTAAAAAAGAATCAGAATTTTCTGTCCGATGAAGAGAAAGTTCGTTATTTTAGTTGAAGAGGTATGCTTGTTAGCTTTCTTGCCAAGAGTTAGATGAGAAGATTGACACCACTCTCATGTCGGTAGACTAAATATGAAGCTACAGAGAAGCAGCCGGCTAACCTAGCATAACATAGCATCGCATAGAAACTGGAAACGGCTAGCATGGTAGCAAAATCCACCAACCACCACATTTAAATCTCACTGGTTAACATGTTGAGTCTTAAGTTAGTTAATATGTACAAAAAAAAAATTGTAGTTTTCTGTGTAAAACTGGTCTTGGCTGAAAACTAGCTTGTTCCATAACCCCCCCTCCCCATAAAAAGACAAAATTGTTGTTTTTACACACTATGTAACATCGTTTTTGTACTGTTTAAGAAAACAAGATAGAACATATTAATGAGCTTTAGAGGTTACCTTTGGCCAGATCCAGGCTAGCTGTCTTTATGCTATGCTAAGCTCTCTTGGGTCCAGCTTCATATTTAGCGAACAGAGGTGACGGTGTCTAACTCTCTGTAAGTAAGCAAAAAAAAAAGAGGGTCGACCTTTTCCTTTTAAAATGTCTGCTATAAAACAAGAGAAAGTAACAGACTGTGTGTTTGCAGGTGTGTGTGTGTGTGTCCTTTGCGTCTTGTAAAATGTTAATTTTCTTAACACAGATGTCACACCCAGTGACCGTCATTTATGATTTAAATACTTATTAAAAGCCCCCCCCCCCCCAAAAAAAAAAACCCCCCCCCCCAAAAAAAAAACAAAACAGATGCAGCCACTTAAATAAAACTTGTTTAAAAAAAAAAAATCAACCATTTTCCCACCAATACTGAAAAGTTCATACGATATGTTTGGTGGTAAAGTTGATGGTGTGTGTGTGCAGGGATGATGGGGTCTCCAGTAAAATTAGCTAAAAACTTAAATTAAAAACGCAGTTGGAATCCATAAAATACATTCAGTCTCTTTCACACTATCGGCGGGAGAATCTGTTCTTGAAAGCTTTGATAGTTTTGGCCATCATGGGGGCGATTTCTGCGAGAAGGAACAAATGGTTTGTTTGAGATTAAAAAAAACCCAACCTCAAACATAATTGTGGTTCTCTTTCTGATCGCACACACACACACACACACACACACACACACACACACACACACACACACTTACTTTTGACCAGTGGTTTGTCGCGGGCGGCAGGTCCTCCTCCTCCTCCTCCTCCTGCTGCCGCTGCTCCACCACCACCACCTGGTGCGGAGGAGCGAGACGAGCCGGGAGAAGGGTCGAGTTGGGAGGAAAAGGAGCGACTCAATTCACCAGAGTAGTCTGTGGTAGCTGGTCGTATTCTGAAGGACACAGGGAGAGAAAAAAAAAGTCTATAACTGTAGTCTAAAGCAAAAAAGAGAAATTAACTCCCCTGACGGGACTGTAAGTACACTCCTGGATAAACCCTGTGCACACATAAATAAAACGTATTCATCTTTATTTTCCATCTTTATTCCATCTCAACATTTCCACTTCAACACCAAACTCAAGTCCTAAACCCTCGATGTCAAGTATGTCAATGTGCTGGATGTGATACTGACTTGATGGGAGCTGCAGCTGCGGTGGAGCTGGCTGACGAGCCACTGATGGTGCCGAACTTCTCCTGTCGGCGGCGGACGTCGCGCGGCGGCTTGGCGACAGAATTCACAAACGCCATCTTGACCTGGCGCCCTGTCAGGACAAACGCAACGCTCAAACTAAAAACGCCAACGCTCAAAACGCCTTGATGCATAAACCTCAAATCTGTGACTTTTCTGCAGAAATGAATGTCCATCTCTCGTCACCTTCTCTGTGCTCATTAATGAGAAACCGATAGTTACACGATGCCTCTCCTACCTTTTGGCTTGTTGGCGTGGGCGGAGGAGATGTTCTGGGTGAGCATCCTCAGTCGCTCCTCGCGCTCGTCGTGCAGCCTCAGGTACATCTCCCTCCACGACTCGTACTCCTGAGGCGTCTCGCGCTTGAAGTCCCGCTGACAATGGCGCATCCACAGCTCGTCAGATTCCTCCGTAAACCACTGAAAGAAGAGATGAGCGAAATCAACAAGGAGCACCATCAGTGTTCCTACATACTGTCCTCGTTATTCTGCACTTTCTTCCTCTCTTCTTGTCAATTTTAGTAAAGTATAGCGCTTTTCTAGTCTTCTGACCACTCAAAGTGCTTTCACACTACATGTCATTCAACCATTCATACACTGATGGCAGGAGCTACCATGCAAGGTGCCACCTGCCCATCAGGACTCTAACTAACATTCACACAACATTCAGCAATTTGGCATTAGCCAAGGACACATCGACATGGACTAGCGGAGCCAGGGATCAAACCGCCGGTCCTCTGATTGAAGAACGACCTGCTCTACCACTGAGCCACAGTGGAGGTAAGTTGTGTAATTTGGTTTCTTTGATTAAGTCTGGTTATATTTGTATACATCACTAGTTTAAATTGTTTATTTGTTATCGTGCCCACCCTGAAGTCAATTCTAAGCTCCCTCTACTGTTGTGTCTCGACCGCCCACAGACGAACAGAACACTGTGTTATGCTGATGAGGGTCCTCACAGGCACAGAGAGAAATAAGAATGTGAGCGTCACCTGGTTGCTCTGCTCGATGCGGTACAGCTGCTCTGGTGTGCACCGCTCCAGCACCGGCTCCAGGATCTCGAACGGCACCCCTCCGACCTCGGCGATGGCTGAAAGAGCACAGTTTGTTTAAGCCACCTTAAGATAACAGGGTGGGGTTGGAGGTGTTTGCGGAGTAGTACATGTTGACTCTCCAACATTTTGTCCAGGGACTGTGACTGTTTATCTTGTATGCTTTGTGGTGAGCCCCACCCCTCTGGCACCTCCATTACTGTAGTAGCATTAAATACATCGTAAAATCATTTGTACTCATGTGCCATATTAATGTCATGTTTTGGGGTTAAAATATTTGATTTGGGCAAATATTGATTGCTCCACTCACAGTCAATGTTGTTCTGCAGCACACGGATGCACTGCTCGTACAGAGTCATCATCTTGGGCAAGTAGGCGGTCTTTGATCCTGAGTAGACCACCATCTTGGAGTTGAACCGCTTCCCCGTGAAACCGGTATCCTCCTCGTCGTTGCAGACGGGAACTGAAAGCAAAGAAAGGGAGCGTGTCAGTCAGTCAGGGCGACACGGAGCAGGGCAGGACGAACTTTTACAGATACGCTGACAAGAAAGAAGAAAGAAAAAGGAGAAAAAAAATGCAGTTGTTTGAACATGTCAAAGAAACAGTTTGGTATTTGACACCCAAATCCTGAGTGGAACAGAAGCCCCCAGGCCTCTGAGGTTCACAGCTGCACGGTTACAGTTATGTGTTCACAGTCACTTTCAGCACTGAAATGGCCGAAGCAATTGGTCAACTTGCAGGAAAAAAACTAAAAACAACAGCCAACATTTACACATGGGCTCACCTCCCTCAGTACATTAATATAGACACAAGATTCCAGCAGAGAAACCTGGTTGAACGCATTAACATCCACTTTATGGACCTGGTTACAGTAAATCTGCATATAAACAGAGGAGGTCAGGCTCGCTTATTTAATGTGTATTTATAGAGATCTCTGTTTGTACTGTTGCTGCCTGCAATATCAAAACTGATCCGTTGACCAAAGAGTGCAGAATTTGTCGGTATCTGGTTGGGTAGACCTGTTTTTATTGAAGGATAGCACCACTAACGAAGCTCCGCTAACACATGGACAAACACGCTGCATTTCTTAGAACAAAAAAAGCATCCCGCCGCTTCGCCAGCGGAAAAGTTTTATGTGAAGCAGCAGCAGCGGTTGGGTTTTACATTAGCAGTAACTTTAAAAAACTCCAATACGGCAGAAAGTCAGAGTCAGACACAGTGAAAAATCTGCTTCTGTGTCGGATTTTAACGAACAATCAAACGTCAGCAGAAAAACCCTAACTCACATAGACTTCTAGAGGCTATTTTGTTAGTTTAAGTTTCAGTCGAACTTTGAATGGCATCATTTTGAACACGGGAATACTTTCTCTGTCCGAAGTCTTTGTCCTGCATATGTGGAAATGTAAAAAGCCGATTAGAAACCCTGTTTCCCGTATACATGGCCATGAAATCAGCCCTCTCCTGGAGGGATCTAGCTGGAGAAATTGGGTTCCTCTAATCCCCCATTACACAAACCAGACTTCTTGTTTACATGACATTTAAGAAATCAGGTGACTGGAGAAAGCCGACCCCAACCCGGTTACATAGTCGCAAAGCACTGCACCTTAGTCATACCTCTAAAGAAGTTTGTACACGACGAAAGCTTTGTCAGCGGGAAACCTGTGATCTCTATCAAATATTAGAAATACATAACATGAGGATTATGTTGAACCTACTATGAGTTCTTGGAGCTACAAAATGTCCTTTTGATGGCTGTCATTTTTCAAAAGAAAAGCCTGTGCTGTTTCATAAACAGCACAGGCGGGGGGGGGGGGGTGTTACCTTTCCGTCTCTGAGGGGACAGCGGTGTGACGTCGATGGAGGGCAGAGGTCTGTAATTGGGTTGGATCGCTGGCAGAGGGATTTCCGGAAGAGACGCAATGACCTCAACCACCTGCAAACAACATCACGTTAACGCCGACAGGCAGGATCTGATAACAGCTTTTCAAACTAAAGGTTTCAAATACAATAGATGAGCAGACGAACGACACAATAAGTTCAAGAAATGGTTTTGGGAAATATGCTTAACGGTTTCTTCCCGACGGTTAGATCAGAACTACCACTCTCATATCTGTGTGTTAGATAAGAAGCTACCGTTTCCAGTAACAAATCATTTCATTATGAGCGTTTTAAATGGCAAGAAGAGAGCTTTCGTGATACTCCAGTCTCTAAACTTGTTATAATCTTTGAAACCTGGAGGTCAATTCTCTTCTATGAACTATAACTACTGCTGCGAGGAAACAATATCACAATTCTACAAAATAAAAGCACAGGTTTGCATTGTGGAGAAAAATACAGGTGGTAATAAAGTCTCACCATTCAAACACGGCGGCCTTAAATTTAGAGCTGCAACAATTAGTCCATTAATTGAACAGGCGATTGACAGAAAATAAATCAGCAACAATTTTGATAATCGATTCATCTTTTTAGTAATTTCTCCTGCAAACATGCAAATAACATTCTCTGGTTGCAACTTCTTCAATAAAATCAAACTGATCATATTTGAGGTTTGCAATGTTGGTCGAATAAAACAAGCAATCTGGCCTCACCTTGGGCTGACATTTTATAGACAAAACCATAAATCCAATAATAGAGAAAATAAACGTCAGATTAATCGATAATGAAAATAATTATTAGTTGCAGCCCTACTTCTATTCTACTGGAAAAAAAGCAAAGCAAATGTAAAACATCTCTGCTGCTGTTCTTACCCGCTTGCGTTTTTCCGCTGTTGCCGAACTGGAGCCTGAATGTGGCCTCTTGGTACTCTGAGTGCCGTTGGCCTTACTCCCTTTGGAGGAAGAGGAGGGGGCCGGCGGAGGTGTGCGTGAACGATGGGAGGACGCCGTGGAGGAGGAGGAGTGAGGCGGCCGACTGTGTGACGAGGACGATGGCGGCTGCTTCTTCTTCTTCTTGACGGGAGTCGGGGCGTCATATGTGAGGAAAGACTCAAAGGACATGGTGGGACTCTCAAAGTCGTCTCCCTCCTCCACCTTGGGCGGAGAGTCCTTGGGCGCCCGCGGTCGCCCTGGAAACACAGAGGCAAACGGAAGAGTTAGAAGATGCAGGGGATCATGGGGAATCCTCAAAATGACTTACAACTACCGGAAGCTGAAGAAATGGTGAAACCTTTCCTAAAGCTGGTTAGCAACATCCAACTAGGGCTGAAACTTCTCCATTAATAATTGTTTAGTTTATAAAATGGTGGAAAAAAAAAGCCCATCACAAGTTCCCAGAGCCCAAAGTCACGTCTACAAATTGCCAAACCCAAAGATGTTCAGTTAACTATCATCAGGGCTCCCGCTCTTTTCTAGAAATCCCTTTCCAGTACATTTTCAGTGATGATCCAGCCGGTATGACAGACAGGAATCCCGCTGATGAATCATTTTTTTTTCCTTATTTATCATATTAACCATTGTTGTCTGAATTTTGCCTACTGACAAATCTAGACCGAACGTTACAAACCTAAACAAAGTTAAGAGTGGAGTATTCAAGTTTTAATAACTGCCACTGAGTCTGTATCCCAACATACTCCATGGTGGGCTAACTACCGGCAGCGTATGTGCATGCTGAGGTCGGTGGCTCCCATGAATTTCACTACATTTTTGTTGTTATTTGTTTGTTTTTTTCCGTGTCTATCACTAATGGCACACGGCAGGATACATTCATCGACATTTGAAAAGGAAGCGTGGGGATTGGATTAATTGCAGCAGACTTTGAGATCATCACCGCCCACGAGGCAACCAACCAGTCAGACCTGCCGGACCAAACGCCACCGAACGGCCCCAGGGAGGAGAGCCCAGATGGAAGCTAAGCTAACCCAGCTAGGACCTCTACTACTCCACTACCCAACATGCTCCTGGCTGTCTGACGCCCTGTCGCAGAAAAATAAGATGGATGAAAGCAGCGGGAGGTCGGTGACTATTGAGCCCACATCTTCACAGGGACCTGGATCCATCGTGGTCCAGGATCAAGCTGCACCTGACGGACGGACAGCAGAACTCCGGTGGGTCCAGAGGAGGTGGACTCTGTGTTTACATGATGATGCTTGGTGCTCACACAGTCAAAGTTGATGGAGAATGTTTCTCCTCATGTTGAAGTTTTAATGTGAAGATGTCGGCCATATTATCTGACCAGAGAATCTTTTTTTCTTGCTGCTTCTTCTTTTCGTTTCACTGAAGCGTGATGGTTATATGACAGTTTCCCATTTCTTTACATTTTTATTGAACACGGCAAGGTCTTTTGAGTTGCAAGGGTTGGGTAGTAGAGGGCAGACAAGGCAGTGCTCCATAGTATGGTCTGCTGCTCCACATTCACATGTGGTTGGGCCAGTCTTGTAGCCCCATCTGACCAGAGCAGCTTTTGATCGTCCCGTTCTTGTTCTGAGGCGGTTTAGTGTTTTCCATTGAGCCCATAGTGCTTCTGGGCTAGGGGAAGGTTTTCAGTGGGGGGTATTCCCATGACAGTTCTTGCTGCTGTTTACATTCCTTATGATGCAAATTCAAAAAAATGCACTACAGGAATGTACTACTGATTTAGTTTTGGTTGTTATGTGTTTATTGTATTACAAATGGGCTACTACTGAATTTCGTTGCGTTGCATAGTCACAATAAATTATCCTTGATTTTTCAGTCCTTTTGCCCATTTACTAGTAACATTAAGGAGTCTGTAACAAGGCTAATCACACCCGTGACGTGACGGGGGGGTTACACCGTTTCCACAACTTAACCAACAGACTCGTCCATAAACTACCATTTTTAACATTTATATGATCCTGAACATAAATTAGCCCTTTCAGATGAGAGTGTACGCCTGGTAGTTCATTCTCAGCAAAAGGAAAATGTTGAAATTATTTTCCAGGACATTTAAGTCCCTCTCTTCACATTTAAGAAGCTGGAACCAGCTAACAACAAACCACATTTTTGCTTGAAAAATTGTTTTTACCCGATTTGTTCTTCAGGTAAAAACTACTGTAATTGTTTTCAGCTTTACATCAACCGACACACACACACATAAACCGTCTGTGATGTGTTATATCAATACACAATAGCCAAACATCTCATGTTTATGTGTCCAGCTTTGTAAGGACAGAGCAATCACTCGCCGCTGTTTGGGGAATTGTTGCATAAATGATAAGTTTCTCCTTTCCTGTCAGCAGATTGTATCTCAATTAGCCGGTACAGGATGTCGCTCTGTCTCTGAAACACGGTTTCTGGTGTTCAGAGCTGAACAAACAATCATCCAATAAAAAAGAAACATTTGCATTATCTTGACTTAGACAATGAATAAAAGGTTTAATGAAATGCAATTGTATTGTCAGCTACAATTCCTGCTCTGGAGCGTCAAAACAAGTGCAAAGTGTTCATTGATAACCGATTGATCTTTGCTTTCCAAACATGAGCAAGTGCCTAATCTACATGGGACGAAATCCTCTCTTTATGTTGTTGGCTGTGGTATTATCATCAATTTCTTAAAGTTTTTTGTTGAGTGAAAGATTAAAGAGAAGGCAGTTTTTTCTTTGAAAACTTTGTTCCCATTTTCCATTTTTTGTTTCCTCTTAAGAATCAATAATCTTATTCCACGCTGTCTGACAGTATTGTATATATATATTTTTCATCTTGTTCCAGCTCTTTATTAAAGCGATATGATGCTCAGACGGTTTCCCTAAATTGCCTCATAATCCGTCCATGCAGAGGACAAACTAAAATGACTCTCGATGTCACCCAGCTCTCTCTGGTGTCACAGTGAACCGCTTCCATCCAACACACTCACCGTCGTCTCCTCCTTTCTTCTTCTCCTCCCTCTTACTCTCATGCGTGGTGGACTTCCTGCTGTGCTTTGCAGACTTTGTTACTGGACTCTCTCTGTCTGCGCTGCGGTTCTTCCCTTCGCCGTCTCCTCCTCGAGTGCTACTCGTCTGTGCGTGGCGTTGCCGCCGCTCCTCGTCTCTGTCCCGGTTTCTTTCGCCGTGGTGGTGGTTTTTGTTGGGTTCTTTGTTGGGTTTGGCAGGGCGGACCTCTTTGCGAAGAGGAGGAGGAGGACTAGGTTCAGGACTAGGTTCAGGCTCGGGTTCAGGCTCGGGTTCAGGCTCGGGGCTCTCATACTCGTCCGACTGGTAGCCTCCTCGCTGCGGGGGGCTGTAGTGCTCGTGTTGAGGAGGTGAGGGCGAGTAGTTCGTGTGATAGCCTCTCTCTACTTCTACTTCCTCCTCCTCCTCCTCTTCCTCTTCCATGTAGGAGGGCTCTTCCTCAGGGGAGGGCTCCCGGTTGCGTCTGTGGACTCCTCCTCCACCACCACCACCACCACCACCACCACCACCACCACCACCACCCGCCTCTGGGCCTCGAGAGTGCGTGTGTGACCGTGGTGCCTCTTTGACGTTGGAGGGTCTGAGGTAGAAAGATGGGAAGTGGTGAAAACACCAGTTACTTTTAAGATTAGAGTTTGACATGCAAAACATGCAATAAATGACATGAAGTTTTAGGGAGTTTAACGACCCAACAACATTTATACACCTCTTACAGGTTAACAGAGCAATAATTCATGAACAGTCTGAAAAGGAAAGCTCTTCAGAATAACCGCTTTATCCCAAACAGTGGACAGTAACCGCTGTGAAACAGTTGGATGACGTTTCCATTTAAGCAGAACTGATGTTAAATGATGTGAAATACAACAAACGAGATTGAAGGAATTTGCGCAATTGGTCCTCTGCGCGTCACAAGTTCCTCCCTGTACTCCGGAGCTCGTATTTATTTCATCTAGAACAATGGTTCCTAACCTGGGAGTTGGGGAACCTCGAAGGCCTCGAAAGATAAACTGCAAGACGGGCGGCGTCGAGACATTTAACAGGAAAGGAAGCACGAAGAAAAAACTTTTTGTATCCTGCCTCTCGTTAGGTCTCAGCAGCGTTGTTCTACTAAACATGTGCCACAATATAACTCTGCATCAGTTTATTTATTAAAAATGGACTCAAATGTATCCCCCGTTGTGTGTTGAAGACGTCACTGATTGAGTTTAAGACCCCTGTGACAGATATAGATGTTGCATCTCCATCGCACATGCTCACTGCAGGATTAGAAACTTACAGTATACGGGGACATTAGAGCTAACACAGGGACATCTCCACTCCTTACTGCTGTTTGCGTGTGTCGAGGCTCAGGTATGCACAATATACCTGTCTGACTGAGGAACCAGTTTCTTCCATTTGGCCACGAGGCCTTTCGCCATCTCTCCAGCCAGCTGATGCTTCCTAAAAGAATTGACAGTCTTCCCCACACCGGTTTCCTACAAGAGAGCAAAACAAAGTCGGATCTAATTCAACAACACGAGGCAAGCTTGATGGAATCTTTATAGTTTATATTTATATTTTTAGATACCACATTGGTCTGACATCCTCTTACATCTTGTCTGTTTTCACTTTTACAGCTGTTATTTGGCAGCTTCAGCCGAGTGACCGATTGGTCAGAAACATGTCGAGGCCGCCCTCATAATTCCCACAAAATCACAATCAAAATTCTGCCCGGGAAGCAAAGCATTTTTGTTCCCAGCAAAGCTCCAATTCTTGCAACTACGACTGTCTGGATTAAATGCCTTGCTGAAGAGCTCTTCCCAAAACATGGTTATCTACTGGTCCTGTCTGTTTTATTGGCAGACATTGTAGTGTGGAAATCAAGAGGACCCTTACCACCAGTATGGTCACAGTCATGGGAAGCTCCCCCAGTCTTTTCAAAGTCTTCAGGAGCTGGAAAACAAGAGAGCATTTGAATTATTTAGAGGACGACTCTGGTGTTAAAGTCAACACATTTTTAGTATCGATACTTTCACTTTAAGTGTTCATACATATTTTTAACAATACTTTTTTTCTTCTCTGAAAATGTCTGTGTACACTGTACGTGAAAAATAAGAATAAAACGTCAGAGTCTGACGTTACCCCAACGCAGGGAACGTAACATCAGGAGACCCAACTGATCTGCCCGAACATTACAGCACTGTTTAACCCATATAGATTTATCTCAGCCGATCTTAACTGAACCTCAAATACTCTATTAAAAAGGTATTTGTGAAGCTAATTTCCACAAGTTCTCTAAAAAGTGTCTCGTTCTTGTATCCATAAAACACTGTAAAAAAAAAAGTGTTATATCTAAATCTTAAAGAATTGTTGTTCCAGAGTTTACAGGTCGGAGGATGGAGTCGGCTCAGTTGTCATGGACGACCACCTGTTATCACACAGCCGAAGTTCAACGCCACGGGTCACGTGGCGACAACTGGGCCATCACCATGGCGATGGAGCAGACTCCATCCACTAAATTGGAGCAGATGTGGTCGAAAGTGACGGAGAGAGCCACCAAGTCATTATATCAATGTCAATAGAAAATGTACTTTAAATATAATATCAAATATGTGCTGACAGAATTGTATAGGATATGAAATATTATTAAAGTTATATCATATGTTTGAATTGCAATTTTAAGTAAATTAAATAACAAACTACTATAATATAAAATATATCAATATGGTGATGTAAAGTTAAAGTAAGAGAGGATTAGATCTATAGGTCTTCTCCTATTTGGAGACAGCAGGGGAGGTGAACCAGCAGTGTTTGTGATTAGAATAAATAAATAATCATCATCATCATAATCGAGATGGGATGGATGTGTCATAACTTAGTACACCTGTAGCTGTAGCATGACACACTGGGTTTCATTACTAATGATCTTCATCTTCATGATGACTGTTAGTGTATTACTTAATTCTAAAGCACAGTAACATTACTGTGTGCACGCACGAGCGGTGCGTTCACAGGTTTCAATTTCAACCACTGGAGTCCCTTCAGGATGATTTACATGAACACATTCTCACACGTGGACTACCTTTGTTCACATTATTGTCTTATGAATTAACTCACAGAGAAGGGACACCTGCTTCAAGCCTGGTGTTTGAGGAGCTCTTCTTGACCTTTTCATTTACAGTGACATGAAACAGCAGCATTCACCAGCCCTGCGTCATGGTGGAGACTGAATGATAACGTGGCCTAACGGGGCCGGGCTGTAGTAAAAAAATCAACAAAAAAAAAAAAAATCACCCAGCTGTGATTTTGCCAATTTTTAAGAAAAGATTTACTTCTCTAAACCGGATTAAATCTTCTGTTTACCAAACCTATCACACAGAGCACTACTGCTTTGTGTTGGGAGGTTGAGCAGTGAAAGTAAACAAAGAAGGATCAGGACATTGTTAATTATCTTTTATCCGCTTTTAGTTTTTAACATTTTAAGAGCAGATCCCAATGCAGTGATGTGCAGCTGCAGACCCGACATTAGATAAATCATTTTATCATTACAGGCCTGGAGTCGGTGTAACGTTTACTGTCATCACTTTCCGCACTAGCGTTAGTTAGCTTGATGGCTAACGGCTACTCTGGCCCCGAGTGTCGTTATAAGAGAAATTACGTTGTGGTTAATGTTATTATTTGAATGACAGATAGAGTGTCTATGCGAGGTTATTAAACCAAGCGGACAGGGGTTCATATTAGCTAAAATATAGCGTTAAAGAAGTACATTATAACTAGTTAAAACCCCTTAATTATCGTGACGTCTCCCGTGGTGCCTTCGCAGGCTGTCGGACATGCTGAAATTCTAAAGTGAGCACTAATGATTCACATCCAAGGCATTGACATGATTCCTTCCAAAGTATCAGGATACTGAAGAACTTACATTTTACGGTATACTATAACACCAAGAGTGAGACATAAATATGTATCCGGTGAACAACACGGTAATGTATTTTGTTTCTGCAAAAACATAATGAAGCCACAGAACACATTTTAGTTTCTTCTGGTCACTCCCAGCTATATTGGAAGCAAATTAAATAATGTATAAATAAAATCTTTAGGGAATATGGATTGATAATAAAGGAGAAAACTATAAAGTTACTGATCACAAAGCTAAATCAACAAAAATGCCTTAAAATAACTTGAAAATGACAAAGGAACAGTTAATTATTAATGTATTGTATTTTAATTGAACATTATTCAAATGAATATTATAATCTGAATTATATCTTTGAGTGTTTGATGGGATCTGGAAAGGTCTACCACAGTCTGCTGCCTTGTTGTTTGTATTGTTGTTTGTATTGTTGAAAAAGATGAGCACAATTGACCTAATCGTGAATGTGGGATATTAATGGCAAAGACTGCCGTGTCCCATTCGTATTTTTAGGGGAAAGAGGATGTGCAAATGATAGCTGCTTCTGTTAATTAATGTATTTTAATTGATTTAAGAACATTTCCAAATATTTTAGTGCCAAAACAACTCAGTGTATTTTCTGACAGAGTTGATATGGTATATTTAATTTCAACCTCTAGCAATTTGCTTAAGACCTTTGTGATTACTTTAAACATTCTAAACTTGGATTCAATGTACAAACAACATGATGAAATTCATGGTTTCAGCCCAACTATTTATACTTGGTGATTGATGGGCTGTCACAGTTTTCATTCCTGTGTAGTTGGTTGACTTTACAGTTGTCACAACTTAATTGGACTGATCAACCACTGAACTATTCATTTATCAATAACACAATTACTTCAGGAAACGGCTGAAGTTTCACAACTACTATCATTTGTATTTCCGACCCCCCAAAAAGCAGCTGAATGGTCTTTAACGTAAAAGCGTGTCAGAAAAACGAGTCCTGAGAGCGGCCCTCGAATGCAGCATTTAAAATAGCGTTGCGACTTTCGCAGCACTGTCGTGGCCGCGGCTTCGTTTAGGGCCGCCGGAGACGAACCGTCACATTTCGGGAGACGGTCGGTGCTACACACCAAATCTGTCCGTCTCCAGCTGTTCAGTCGTTACCTTTCGAGGCTCCGGATTCTCCAGGAGCCGCGACTGGAGTCTATCCACTGCTTCCAGCAGTTCCTCCGCCATGTTTACTGCTGGTACCCTGTCGCCCGGAAACTACTTCATCCTGACTGAACGGAGAAAGGGTGAAAAAAACGGAGAGGTTCCGTTTAACTCAGTGAACGCTGCTGCGAAGAAGAGGCGTTACAGCCTTTTGAAATAATAACGTATATATTTAATAATAAAACGGCATCAATACATACATTAAGAATGAAATTATTAAGAGCAATGAGGAAATCTGTACATGATGAGAACAGTTACGAAAGACGGAACTACGTCACAGTACAGCTGACAGAGCACGTAGTGACGCTGGTTGGTTTGACGTCAGTGAAAACGCTGAATAAGCATGTAGTGTAGTTTACTATGTAACTGTTGGTACAGTGTCATCTTTCATGTAAAGAAGTACTATAGACACATACAGTATATATATATATATATATATATTATTCTCATGCACAGTTCAGAGACAAATATTTGTTTTTACTTTTTACTGAATTACATTTATTTGATAGCTTAAGGTACAAGTTACTTTGCAGAGTCACATTGATAATACAAAATGTAATCAACCAACACATTCTGATAGGTTGAGATTATGATATGTTTAGTACAGTTTTGTGGTACTTATTTGCATTTTATGCTACTTTGTACTGCCACTCCACAACAACGAAATATTGTACTTTTTACTGCACTACATATATTTGACAGCTGCAGTTCACTTGCACATTAAGAGTGAGCATAACAAACATATGACTCATTAACTATGACGCATTTTCACAGATTGAACTATCCAACAGTAGGTTAAGTAGTTAGAATTGATGAAAACATTTTTTTATGAAATACCAGTATGTATAATTTAACAATAAAACACATCCAGCAATTCGGCAGAATGAGTACTTTTACTTTTGATACCTTTGTAAAAAGTATGTTTTGAATACTTTTATACTTCAGTAAACTTTTGAATTCAGGATTTTTGCAATGGAATATTTTTACATTGTTGGTATTGGTACTTTTACTCAAGTAAAGGATCTCACCTTCCATCACTGTTAGGTAACTCTGTAGTAATCCTCTAGTAACTAACGCGACCTGTGTTCCCTCTTTAGAGTAACATTAGATAACATGCTCTAAACCTGTTCATGCAGATTCCCGGGGAGAGTTTCTCCTGTTTTGTTGGTGTGGAAGAGGAATGAGTGAGATTAACAGTCAAAGAAAGAAAGCAGACACACAGTCAAATCTAAAACCTGAAACCCAAGGGCCATGAGGGGGATGAGGTGGGTGAGGGCGGGGTTGGGTGCGAAAAGAGCCCTCCTCTGATGGGATATTTTTGGAGGGGAGGGCGACGCCGAGTGCCTGTATTTGGAGATGGAGGTGGATGTTGGAGGAGGTGGGGAATAACGGAAGAGGCTCTGATGTGAGTATGGTTGGATTTTAGAGGTTTAAGCGGGGGGGGGCTGGTTTTCTTTTGCTGCTGACACACACACACACACCAACATGCACACACACACAGCCCTCTGACAGAGGACAGACGGACGAAGCAAAGGGCCTGTAGAAAAACAGAGAAAAGAGAGACGCTGAGAGAGCAAAAGGAAGGGAAGAAGAGCAGGAACCAGGAGGGAGAAAGAGGTAAAAGAAAAATACACTTCAATTTTGAGGTATTTGTACTTTATACTTCTACTCCACTACATTTCAGAGGGAAGTATTGTACTTTTTGCTTCACTACATTTATGTGACAGCTGGAGTTATAATTACTCTAAAGATTTTACAAACAAAACATATGAATTTAATATAATATCAATTTATCCAACAACATAAAAAAAGTTAATATTCGCTCCACCACTACAAGCTGGAACATTGAAATGCTGTTTGTGTGTTAATGCCTCTTCAGTTATAATATTCAAATAATATATGATATAACACTGACAGAGAGTATTATGGCCAATAAGTACTTTTACTTTTTATACTTTAATTACATTTCACTTATACGTTATATTTTTGTAGTTTTACTTATGTTAGATCTTTGAACAGAGTATTTTTACATAGTGTTATTGCTACTTTTCCTGAAGTAAAATATACTGTATGACTACCGCCACTGGAAACCGCATATCAAATGATACATCTAATGACATAATCATAATAATTCGTAATGTATACTTATATTTATATTTAACCGCTGAATGGAAACAATGTGAAGAAGTTGCCAGTGTTCCATGTGGATATTACTACTCTGCAGGGGGGGGTCGGCCCTTCCTTTTCCATTCCTTAACTGTAAAACACACAAAATACACACACAAAGTACATGTTGTGTGTGTCAGCACCTATAAATACACACACGAGATAGACGAGGAATTCAGCTGCAGCCACAGAACGATAGAAGAGTTGGGAAGGCACGCAGGGTGGTGTTTTTTGTGTGTATGTGTAGGTTCAACTGGTGGACAAAATAACAGAAACACTTGGATTTTTCCTTTGGATTTTCGATTATTGCAGAATTAAGCTCTGTGGCAAACATTTATGATACTTACTTCTGTTCAGCAAGATATAATTCAAGAATGATCATCACTTTTAGGATCTTTTAAGCGTAAATACAATCGGCAGGAGTAAAAAGCTAATGTTTGGCTTTAAATAAACTACAGCACGGTCACATAACTTCAACGTCACCACCATTAAGCTTAAAGGTTGACTAGTGTTCTAGTGATGATGTTTTTGAAGTCACGTAAAAGCTTAAAAATTCTCGAGAGTGGTATTTACTGACGTATGTTATATCATAGAAGAAAACGTAAAAATCTCTTAAGCTTGTGTTAAACACTGACCTTATTTCAGGCTCCTAACCAAAAACACAGTCAAAAGTAACGTTGATCCCCAAGACGAGGGAATCGGGAAGTGCAAAAATGCTGACTGATTTCTGAGTTTTAGGATTCTTTCCTGCAGCCCTTTATACCACAGCCCTGCAGTTAAGAGCACTTTGGTGGTTTAGGTTTTTTTTAAATGATCATCTCTACAGCGTGTGTTTTAGCGTCTTTTAGTGTCTTTTAGCCAATAGCCAACTCACCGCTCTCATATTGTAGTTTTTGGAGGCAGCAGGCAGCTTTTTTCATCAACAAAGCTGTAAAAGCCCACTGTATACCTGCAGGTATAGTATAACTATACCTGCTCAGCATCAAACGGCAGATAGACACAGTTAGCGACTAGCTGGTAAACATAGTTGAGCATTTAGCAGCTAGCGAGACAGATATTTTCCTCTGGAGTTGGTGGAGACCAAAAACAGCCCAAAGTGAGAGAATATGGACTTACATTCATCAGGTGCACACAAACACAACTCCTAGTGAGTGACAATGTTGCTCGGTAACTGCTAGATGGGCAAATTAGCAACTGCACGCTAACATGTCTGTCATATCAACTTAGTACATGTTACCGTGTCACCTTTTCATGTTCACAGCTTGTTTACACTGCCTACAAGTGGAAGAATAAATCAGTTATTAGAGGTTTAAAATAATTAGTTTGCAATTTTTGGGAATGCAATTATTTGCTTTGTTGGAGAGAGTTAAGTGTAGAATTATGTAAATCTCATGTTTGTGTGTTAAGTATGAAGCCAGAGCAAAGTAGCTTAGCTTAGCATAAAGATTGGAAACAGCTGGTCCTGCTCAAACTTTTAAAATACACCTGTACCTAAACCTACTCACGGTAAAACACATCAAAACACACCGATATAGACACTCAGTCAACTGGAATCATAAGAATGTGGTTGTTGCTCACAGTTGTTGTGTCCTCAGTTGACACTCCTTAAAACCACAGCTCTGACTCAAGCATCACAACGCTTTGCCTCATGTCAGTTGTCTTTTTCCCTCTGTAAAGCTTCAAACACTCCGAGCAGATTCACACTCTGAGATCGGCGTCTAAAAATAAAACGAAGGGCCCCGGGTGCTTAGATTACCGCCCTTCTCCTTTACGCACTAAAACAGTTTATTTTTCAGTTTGAGTTAACATACACACATACACACACACACACACACACACACACACACACACACACACACACACA